CACCCCCGTGGAATCTGCATAAATTTGACTTGCTAAGCCGAAAACGCGTCCGCCACTCGTCGACACGCTCGTCCCAGGTTCTGTACCTCGTAGCGCACCGGGTAGTGTTGTCAGAATCCTAGTCAATATACCGTATGGCCTATATACACGAGTATTTGCGACGAGCAAAAAAAAAAGAAACATGTCTGACTTCTATGCAAAACGTTACATAATTAATTGTAACAGCATTTCTTTGCATTTTCTTCTACCTTTAAAAGAATTTTGAGCATTTCTCGTGAATGTCATTAGATATTTTTCAACGAACTTGGATAATCGGATAAAATTGCATGAGTGCACAAGTCACGTGGGAGGGAATGATTTTTTATTGAAAAATATACTATAACAGATGCCTTTAACGTGCGAGGCTTGCCTAGCGTCACGTACGGGACATGTATGTACACAATGCGCGACACTTTGACAAAAGCTCGTTCATTACGATAATGGAGTATTGAAGGCGTATCCGCGTATCGTGATTCATTCCGCGACATAAAGGGTCGTGCTTTAAACAACGAGGACGACAGTCGTTGGGATGCTGTGCGCGGGAGTATGATTTCCGTTTGTATACAGTAAATAAAGGGAAGGTAAAATAAAAAATATTCCATTGAATTAACAACGTCGGGCACGACCCTGTCGTCTCTTGGGTCGGCCGTGCGAACGACCCTGATACGTGTGCAACGAGAGACTGTAAAATCACAACGACCCTAGAAAAATTCCACGAGAAGCTCGTATGCACAAAAGGCTAGAGATTGTAATGAATTTTTCCAAAATTTTACGCGAAAGCCGTCACTGCACAATACTTTCGAAAGGGACTGTAGCGACTTTTTCTGGTAAAAAAGGTCAGGCTTGAATATAGGCAGGGCAGCTTGATATACAAAGTTCGACGAATGAATCCGGCCTAAGGCTATGAAAACGTCATATATATACTTTGACATTAACAACCCAAACGATAATCCTCTTATACGCAGCGTATCTACATATAGCTATATGGGCATGTGCCAGATTCGTGCTGACAAGTTGGCAATGTAAGAAAAAGATGGAAAAAAAAGGTTGAAATAAGGAAACGAAGCAAAATAGAAGAAGAAGCCATGACAAAAGTGTGAAGTAAGGAATTTTGTTAAAAATGAAAAAAAAAAAAAGAAAACATTATGAACTAAACTTAAGAGTCTTTCTTCACGTAGCCGTTTCGAATTTCGAGAACTGCTGACACTTGCGAAATTTAGATGCGATTATAATCACGGATGCGTTTCGTACGGCCAAACGAGAGTGAAGTATTACTTTCGTAATATTGTATTCTAAGGGTTGTTATTTTCAAACGTTTTTCTCTTCCCTCTACGCAGAAGGGGTCTGAACAGGGGGATCATTCTGAAAATGCAAATTGCTCCGGTTTTCTACACTGTACGCATAGACCGTATACGGAGGTATCCAAAGGGGTGCGGAATACACTAGACACGTGGATTACTAACGGAAATCCCGATGCGAGAGGGTGCCACTTTTAAGGGATGATGGAGATTCTCCGGGAAAATTCATCGCGGAGTAACAAAAATCGATATCCCCGTAAGAGTTGCTTGAATAGGTAAGCATTTTTCCTTCAAATAATAAAGGGACTTTAACGGAAAAAAAAAAGTTGTTAAAAAAATTACGTTTCATCTTCGACAATCAATTAGTTAATTTCGCAGGTAAACGCATTTCCGTTGAATGCCTTCTTCGTTCTAAACACACTGCCCAACTGGACCTATCAAAATCTCGCGTATAATAAAATAAGAAATTTAATAAACCGATATCACAATACGAGGAAATGCGGAACAGGAGACTATTCGTCGCGATAACGTAAGATATGCCATCTTACCTAATCCCTATGATAAAAACGCTTCATCCCTCTCGCAATTATCTTGCGCATCCTATTGCATATAAAAATTACAAGCTACGGACATACTGTACACTATGTGCTACGCTATATGCTATACGCACGTAAATGCACGTTACACGTAGCAAGACATTGCACCGCTGTTGTTATTATACATTATTATTGTTATTATTATCGATATTAATATACAATATATATTCGTGTTTCGTGAGAGAGCAGGGCAATTGCGGCGGCATTTTCCTTACCTTTTTTGGACACATTTTGAGGGTTGTCCGCCTCTCAGTGTCCCCCGTGTGTATGCCCCTTTAACTCTCACTCGAACTGTAATCGATTCGTAATACGATCGATTTAACGATTATCGATCGTTTCCCTTCATTTTCTCCCTCGCTCTCTCTTTCCCTCGGTACAATATAGTATATTACATTTTCTTTCTCGTTTCTTTTGCTTCCGTCTCTCTTTATCACTTTGTCCTCCTTCTCCTCTCATCGTATCACTCTCCCCCCTCTCTCTCTCTCTCTCTATGTCTCTTGTTCGTTCACGTCATATATTCTCTGTCTTTTTTTTGCCACTGATTTCGTCCGTTCCTATCAGCGCTCTTTCACTTTTCTCATCTCATCTCTTTTAATTTGCAACCGGAAGTGAATCATCTACGGGATAACAAGATAGAAATCATGAGAAGCCTGCCGTAATTCTCGATGGCCTTTCGCCATCTGCTTCTATTACATTGAGATAGGGCAGCGGAGGAGAATTTTACCCAGATTTTTTTTATCACCAACCCCCATTGATTTTCATTTTCAGGGGGTTGTCTTCCGGTATTAAACGTTCTTTGCTTTTAAATGGACTTCACTTTGCCCGACTTTTTCCTCGACAGTTTCGCGCGCCCCCATCAACCCCTTCAACCGTGACGTGGGATTGGTCCGATTTTTGCCGACACCAAAATATATCCTTGTTTCTCATTATTGACATTTCAGTTGTGATTTTTCAATCAACCACATTTTTTCAAGAACGTTACGCACTCCAGGAACAAGGGACAAGTTTGTGTGTTTGCAAATAACAGCCATCGCCAGACGTGCCATTTATGTACATTTGTTCTTTTGTCCATTTTTCGTAACTCGGTTCCTTCTTTTCTTTTCTCTTTTTTCCTTTACTTCGTTAACCTGACGGAATCGATGCGCCTCAACAGCAGATCAACCAACCAACCAACGTTATACTCAATACGTGTTATTCGCGTCACGTCTTAACCGGGTAATAACAGTAGCAAAGCAGAATACTAAAATTCAAAATCGTATACGTAACACAGGACGTTCTAAGTGAGTGCAGAATCTCGCCTGATTAGAAAAGCCATTCCCGTATAGGTATTACTCCTCGCCCCTATGAAAACTGGACGTGCGACACGTGGAAAATTGGCCTGTCAAACGATAGCCTTAGACGAGAAAATCGATCAAGTAATTTTACGTGCAACGTCAATGATCAAGATATATGTATATACATATATACGGTCACCTAAGAGCGTAGTTATATTCAATTGGGTGCAACCATTGTCCCTCGTTATCGTGACAAGCCAGAAGGTGCTGAATGTGCGTACACAGTATTACTGTGTATTACGAGTAGCCAGAGAAACACAGAGAGTTCGAGAGGAACGACAGACAAAATGACGTAAGAGAAATAGAAAGCGAGGGATTGTGAAAGAAATTGCTATCATTCAATATACATATGTAATTACGATGATTGGACGTCGATTAAAAAATACAAAACTTTGTGTTATCTCTCATTAAAAATAAAAAAAAAATCATCGTCATCGTTTTAAATAATCATTGACGATCAATCATCGACTAAGTATGCTTATACGTTATTGATCATTAAAGATATCCGTCTAGTTCGCGTTTCTCCCGTTCACAGAGTAGTGGAGCTGTGGTCGATCTGCCGTGAGGTTTACGAAAGAATCTTCAAGTGTAATCGACGACGCCGACGCCGTTCGACGATCGCGACAAGCGTTAATGAAAAAAAAAAAAAAAAAAAAAAAAAAACGTGGTCCCCGACT